CATCTTGGTCCATGGCAGTTTCCCGAGTGCACTGCTGGACAGAGGATCAGTGTTGGAAAGTGCGACCCACTGTGTAGTGTGGGTGGCTTCTGGGCTCAGCTGTGGCATGGGGTGGGCTGGGGACGGGAGACATGAGGACAGGGTCCCCTGGGAACCTCCTGCTCTGTTCCATGCCTGGGAGGGGAGGTCCCTCTAGGACCCCCTGGCTGGTCTACCTCTGGGCTCTACCACGCGGCCTGCGTAGTGGTTCTAGGCATAAAGTTAGTTAGAAGAGATCGAAATAAAAACACAGACTCAGTTACCTTATTTCTATTGCTAGGTCCGAGATGGCTCCCCTCTCTGGTTCCCTCGCCCAGCAGGGCAGCAAGGATTACTCAGGGCTAGCAGGAGAGAGAGAGAGAGCACGCCGGGGACTAGCCTTTTATTAGGGAACAAGAGATTCAGGGGAGAATTCCATCCAATGAAGGTTGAGGGGGGGTTGCACTCCAAGGTCAGGGTCAGTGATTGGGTCCCCTGGGTCAGTGGTCAGGCACACCCCCACACGGATGGACTCTCTCATCAGGAAAGGGTCGGGAAAACTTCGACATAGCCAAAGTGCCTCAGGCCCTTAACGGGAGGCACCCGATCACGTGTGAGAATGGCTCCTCACACTGGGCTGCTGCTGACTCTGCCTGGCGGCTTCATTTGGGCCAGTCACTTGCCAGAGGGAGGGAGTTGAGGCCCTTGATGGTGGTCCCAAGGCTGCAGGTGGTGGGCCCGTCTGGGTGGTCTCTGCTCCCTGCTCCATCCCAGCTGGTTGGGCTGATTGGGTGACCCTCCTTGGGAGGGAGTAACAGAGAGCCCCTCTGCCCTCAGTTTCCTCATCTGCCAACCGAGAGGGTGACAGCTCCCTCGACCTGGGGTGGGGGTGGGAACCGCCTGAGAACTAAGCCCACGGGGGTACGGCAGGGGGCCCGGAAACCAGGGTCAGGACCAGGTCTTCCTGCTTCTCCTGTGTCAGGCTGGCCTGTTGGACAACCTGGATGTCTGGATGTGGGGAGCCCCCAGGCGCCAGGGCGCCAGGCTTGGTCCTCAGTGGGGCATCATTGAGGTGGAGGGATCTTTAGGAGGTGACTGGTCTGGGGCGTCTTCCTCGTGCGCGTGGGGTGGGACAGAAGAAATGCAACCTGGGTGGAGTGTGAGACCCAGAGGAGGGATGGGCAAGTCAGATGCAGTCCGGAAGTTCCAGATGTCCCCAGGCCTGTCCCTCTCCAAGCCAGTCCCTCTCCCAGCCCACCAGTGCCGGATTCCTGGGAACCCCACCTTGTGCACTATTCATGAAACCCCCAATAACTAGATTAATCAAAGAGAGGCATGATGTCTTCAGAAACCTATAATTTAGGGGACTTTCCAGCATCATCAGGATCCTGGGACTGGCCAGACCAGCATGAGCCATCTTCAGGTCACCAGACTGAGGCCATCCCTATACACCTACACCTGCCCACCCCTCTCCAAGTGTCTCTGGTTCCCAAGATGGTCTGCATTCTCCCTTGAATGCATGCTCCTTGCTTCACCCCAAAGGCGTCTCTCTCCTCAGATGATGCATTCTCCCTGAACGGGCTCCTGCTCTCCTAGGGAGAGCTCTGCCTATGTCCTGACTGGTGCAGGTGGAAGTTCTTTTCCATCACATACGACAAGAAACCTGCTCATCCTGAGTCGAATTTGCCCTTCTCTCTGGGAACTCCTGGGACCCTGAACTTCTCTGAAGATGCCTCTTCTCCCGTGACAAGCGGTTCTATGTAAGAATTGAGGAGTGGTGTGGGGCAGTTGTCTATTTATTTTGGAGCTGCTGTTACAAAGTGAGGCCACCCTGCTTCCCCAAATAATGAGCCAAATAAACCGCTTCTCTTTATACAGTTCCCAGCCCCAGTCATTTTGTTACAGCAATTCAAAATGGACTAAGACAACCCCTAAGGAGCCCCTGCTCCTGGTGATCATACCTGCAGGATCCCCTCCCCTAGGGTGGGCTGGACCTGGTACTTGCTTCCCATACATAGAAGTATAGAAAGAGTGATGGGATGACACTTCTGCAATTGGGTTATAACACCTGGATGACAGTGTGTCAAGAGCTTCCAGATTGAAGAATCCTTGGAGGTGCTCGGAAGGCAGAGAGTCCAGAGAAGTCATGAAAATTCCCTCCTCTATCTTGCCCTAGGCATCTCTGCTATTTGGGTATTCCTGAGTTGTGTGCTCTAATTAATTAGTTAATTATTTTTTGCTGTGCATGGGATGGAAGCCAGGCTCTTGCAGTTGCTAGGCAAGCACTCTACCACTGACCTACATACTAATCCTCCTCCTCCTCCTCCTCCTCCTCCTCCTCCTCCTCCTCCTTCTTTCTTTCTTTATTTTTGAGATGGTCTTGATGAATTGCGCAGGCTGACCTCAAATTTGTGATCCTCCTGCCTTAGCATCCTGAGTAGCTGGGATTATTGTCCTGCATTCTGTGAACCATACTGGCAAATTATTTAATTTTAGAAGGGGGTTGTAGGAACCCTTGATGCAATAGCCAATTGGTCAGAAGTACAGAAGTACCAAGGATTGCTCTTCGTGTCTGGAACAGGGGAGTCTTGTGGGCCATAGCCTGTGGGTCTGCACTAACTGTAAACAGTGTGACAATCAAGTTGGTGTCCAGTGAGTTGGTTGGCATTTGGAAAACCCCAAGCACATTTGGTGTCAGAAGTGCGAGTAAAACGGGTTGTAAATCCTGAGATGACCCCCGCTCCTGCTGAGWCCTCTTGAGAGCCCAGAGCCCATGGAGTCCAACTAAGCCACATTCAGATTCCTGACTACGAAAAAATGGGAAGATAATAAACATGATTTGAAACCATTATTCAGCAATGAATAGCTAATGCATATACTGATTTTGATGTATCTTGGAACAAATATGACTAGCAGTTCAAATCGAGTTTGTAGTGTTTATTGCTTGCAACACAACTAAGTAGAGAAAACGAGTCTGTTCAAATCAATTTGAAGAGAACTGTCAGTCAGAGGTATGAGTCGGGGTAGGGTCCTAAGAGTCAGGAGCTGGAAGGACGTGGACGGCGGTTTGGGGATGTGGGGACACCTGATGTAACAGTGATTTCAAAGGCACAGTGGGCGTGTTCAGTGCTAGGGATAATTCAGGGCTGTTCCCTGTGTCTGTCTGTATGCACCTGTCTGCAGGGTATAGCGGGTTTCTTCTTCCTGGGCCAAGTTCTGCTCTGCTGGGGGTGGGCTGCACTTGAGAACCACTAGGTGCCGCCATCTTCCTCCCTTCGGGGTGATAGTTGCRTAATATTATGAATGCATTTAATCCCATTGAACTGTGCACTTGAAAATCCGACCCCAGGGGAAGAAGGGCAGAGATGTGGCAGAAGGAGAAGTCAGATTTCAAGCTCCTTGCTGCATTTTGAAGCATCCCATTCCAAGAAGCATCCTTGCCTAAGGGACCTAGCTGAACTCCTATCTGGACCAAATCTTGTTCATCTTTTAGGAAAGGATGTGTGAAGGCCGGAGGTCCCTCTTCTGATGCACTAGCCAGAACTGGTTGGGTCTAAGATGGTTTCCAGGCAATCTCTAACTTTATTTTAATCCCATCTGCATGCTTTATGAACCCCAGCCCCACTCCCAGAAGACACAAATATTCCTCTGAACCCCGTTTTGTAGTACTGGGGATTGAATCAGGGGCACCCTGTTTCTGAGCTACATCCTCAGCCCTTTGTATTTGCAAAGACAGGGTCTTGCTAAATTGCTGAGGCTGATCGGGAATTTGTGATCTTCCTTCTCAGTCTCCTGAGTAGCTGGGATTACAGGACTTTGCCACTTTGGGGTCTGACCTCCTCCCCTTTATTAGCCTGTCCTTCCTCCTCATTTCTTTTATTAGTCTACCCACCCCACGGGTAAAGGAACAAGATTTGCAAGCCTTTCTTTCTGCTTCTTCTGTTCTTTGGCAAACAAACAAACAACAACAATAAAGCCCCCCATAACAAACCAAAACAAGAAAACCTTCCTTCCCTGCTCCATCTGGGCTGGTCTCCTTTATTGGTTCTGTGATTCCAAGAGGAAAAGGGACCTAACCCTGGCTCCCACTGTCACAGCAGGAAGGTTCAATATGCTCCTGCTGGCTGTGGTGATGGAGTGGGCCACAACGGGATGGCCCCCAGGAGCTGAGAACCACCAGCCGCCAACATCCAGCAAGTAGAGGTGAGCTTCAGTGCTGGCGACGAGCAAACAGATTCCGCAGCATACTGAAGAGGCTGGGAGTCCATTTTCAGTCTACAGGTTAAGACCCCAGAGTGGCCCGGGAGGTCCGGAGACAGGAACTCAGTCCAGCCTTGGACTTTGGACTGCCAGGACTGCCAGATAAATGGGAGCTGTTTTAGTTGAGTTTGTGGTAATTTGTCACTCCAGCAGCAGAAAAACCAACATGAGATTTTTACATATTTGAAAACACTTTTTGTATATGTTGTAAATATTTTTTCAAGTGTGTCAACTGTGTTTTTAAACTTTACCCTAGATTACATTTACCTTCTCTAATTATCCGAAGACAAACTCAAGTTCCACTTTGGGGATTGACTTTTGTGGATGTCCCATCTACCCAATATTCACACGCAACACAATCACCCAGAATGCGTGTTAAAACGTAGTYCTGGGCCCTGTTCCCCACTCAGGAGGTCTGGGAGGGCCCAAGGAGTTGCATTATTAAAAAGTTCCCAGGGGACGCTCAATTTCCGGTCCCAACAGTACTAGGAAATGCATTCTTTCCCAGCCCCAGTAGTTGAAGCCCCAAGGAGCTGCCCCTCCCGGGAAGGACACTGGTCCCACCAGAGGGGCGGGCCCTGTAAACTCCGCCCCCACGCTCGAGGCCTCCGTTCTCATTGGCTGCCAGTTTAGGGCTTCCCCGCGTCACAGTGCGCTCGCTCCTCCTCCCGAACGCCAGGGGCCGTGCCTCGCGCCTGCGCAGTGAAGGGGGCGCTCGCGGGTCCCGCGCGTGGTGTTTGGATGGCGGAGCTCCAGGCCGAGTCCAAGCCGCTACTGGGCCGTGCCCGTAGCGGCAGCGGTGACGGCGATTGCCCTCAGGCGCTGCCCACTTGCCGCAGCGTCCAAGTTGGTCCTGGTGAGCGGCCCGGGCCTAGTGAGGGGGCCGGGCTGGCCGGGGTCCCGCGAGGGTCCCGCGGTCCCCGCACCCTCGAGTCTTCCCGGGGCCCAACTCGGCCGGCGTTCGAGCGTGGCCGGGCGCAGGGGAGCAGCTGTCCCGAGCCCGGCGGAGTCGGGGCTGTGGGGTCGTGGCCAGCCCCGAGGGGCCGGGGAAGAGGACGTCGGGCAGCCCCCGCCGGGTGCAGGGCTGGCCAGACGGCGGCGTTTCCGTGGTGGCCTTAAGGCTCCTGGGAGGCAGCACTTTCATCCCCTCCTTCTCCCTGTTTCTTGTGGGGGAAACTGAGGCCCAAGGGAGGTGTCACTCAAGGTCACACGCCAGGAGTGGCTCATGGGGATTCCAGACTCCTGGAGTGACTTTCCTGGCCTGGTCACAGCAGGTGGGCCCCAGCAGCTGTGGGCTTGGGGCCCTTCTCCCTTCCCAGCCTCTTCCTGCCCTTCCTGTTTCTGGTCAGGGATTGCAGAATCTCTAGGAGGGTGCAAGGGTGGAATCCACCATCCCTGGCTGACCGCAGGGGAATTAGTGCTGGGTCAGAGGCAGAAGGCGCTGTGTCATCTTATTCAGGAAGAAACAGCCTTGGAGAGGCCCCGAGACTGCCCCAGGTCACCGGTGACTGCTTCTAGAAACACACTGGACCGTCCTGCCTTGCCACTTCCCTCTCTGGGCTTCTTCCTCCTCTGCCCTGGAGGGGACTGTGTTGGGATAGTGACCACCACCTGTGGGGTGGTGGATCCTTGAAGGTGCCTGACATGACAGGAGATAAGGGAACTAGAGCTGAGCTGGCCACGAGCTGGCCACACTGTTTCTGCCCCCAGGGAGATTCTTAAGTTGCTTCCTGGGACCAGACATCCTTCCTGCCAGGCTGGGACAGGATACATGAATGGTTCAGGGGACACAGGCTTTGTGTCTGGAGGGCTGGGTGCCTCTCTGGGGCTGCTACTTGGCTGTGTGAGGATGGCAGTTGCTAATCCATTCTGGGTCTCAGTAAAAGGGGGCCATGATTGGTAGAGGGGCCTGTGTGATTCAGAGAGCATCCGGGAGGTGGTGTGGGTGCCGCTGGCCGTCCAGGGCAGGAGAGCCATGAAGCTGCAGGTCCCAGTCTGGCCGAGTGGACTTCTGGCAGGTGCGACCCTGGCTGTTGAGACAGGAGCCAGGGTGGGCAGTGTTGATGAGGGGGTCTCAGGGCTCTTGGCCTTGTCACTGTGGTGAGGGCAGTTCTGCCTCTGTCCCAGCACTGTGCTGGGCTCTGAGATGGCCCCTGTGTTCCACAGGGAGGGGAGCTGCTGCTATAGAGTGCTCAAGGACCTGGGGGGCCCTGTGGCCAGGTCCTTCTGGCTCAGCCCACCTAACAGGGCGCCATCGAAGGTTGGGAAGAGTGCTTTTCCCCCCGGGTCAGAATCTCCCTTCTACAGCTGGAGAAGTAGTTGGAGTGAGGGATCCCCAAGCCTGCAGACCCCCATTTAGTGGGGTGATGGGGTGTGGGCAGATGATTGCCACCTTGATGGGCAGGTGAGCTGCCCAGGGTGAGATCCCATTCCCACAAGGTGGGGCGGTGCCCCTGGCAGAGGCAGCAGCCTGGGTAAGGGCTTGGCGGGGCCACCGTCACAATGAATGACATGGTGGGGGACAGGGTGGAGAAGCAGCACGAGCCAGTGGTGGGCAGAGGGGTCCCCCTGCAGTACCAGGCTGGACGGAGTGTGACCCTGGAGGACTCATGGGATGCTGTGTGGGCTTCCCAGGATTTGTGACAAGATCCCTTGGGACTTCAGGTGGGACTGCCTTCCTGGTACTGAGGGCTGGGTGGTCTCTGATGGTTGGACCCAGAATCTTAGGACCAACAACCAGAAACCAGGTGAAGTGAACCACAGGGACAGTGTGGTTTGGTGTCCGTCCCTCCTCTAGGGACCTGCGTGAGGGCTGGGCTCTCAGACCCTCTGCTTYCCCGGGCTGTTCATTGCCCACTGGGTAAGTCAGCTTTGGGGTCTGCTGTGTGCTGGGCACAGAGCCAGATAGCGTCTGTTTACAGCCATTCTGGGACACCGCAGCACCTCTGTGGGAACAGTTAGGGTCCTGAGGCTGAGCCTGTGGTTGAATGTGTGGGTCTGAGCCAGTCAGCCCGGGGGAGGTGACTTGCTGGCTGTGCTTTGAGGGGCAGGAGATGCCCGTGAGCAGCTGGCCCAGGCTCTTCCTGAAAGCCCCCTCAGTCAGGGGCTGGCTGCGTCCATCACCTGGGCCTCCAGGAGGCCCCACCTCCTGTGCCCTGAGAACCAGCTTGTGCATGGTGAAGGACACAGCTCCCTTTGCCAGGGGGGGCCTGGAAGAGGCCTGGCATTTGGGTGGCTGCTTGGGCTCTTCCCTGGGGTGACTTGGGTTCCTGGTCCTGAGGGCAGGGACCAGGAGGGAGTGGGACTCTGCTTGGTCTGTGTACTCGATGCTTTCCATTTTATGTGTCAGGGTTAATTCTGTGACCTTGGTGGGTGGAGTGGGCTGGTCATGGTAGCCCATTATATTGTTGGGGATGCTGGGGACATGCAGGAGGCTGGTGGTGGGACCCAGCGGCTAAGGAGTGACACAGCCCTGTCATGGATCATACTTGGGTGCCAGACTGGCTGGGGCTCTTGTACTCCGAATTGTACCTCACAGCGTCCTCTCAGAACCGGGCAGTGGCTGTCAGCACTCCTGCTGGGCAGAATGGAGACATCTGCAGAGCCAGTTCCCGGGTGGGAGAGTGTCTCTGGACCCCAGTCTAGCACTGGGGCTCTGCAGAGTGCTGCTGCTCTCCATAGGGCTTCGCTGGGGGCAGCTGACCTCTGCACTCTGTCCCCTGGGCAGTGGTGGTCCTGAGGGCAGAGCTGCCTTTCTCTAGGCCTGGTGCCAGGAGCTCAGGCTGCCACGCTCCCCTTCTGGTGGGGACCTGCGGAGGCCAGGTGTCAGGTGCTGAGCTCAGGGTGGAGGGATCTGTGGCTAGTGGTCTTCTGTCAGACCACCATGGAGGGTGAAGCCTCATGATCCTACATGGTCACTGGACGTGTCCCCTCTGCCCACAGCCGCCGTGGCCAGTCGGGACCTCTGCATCGACCAGGCTGTGGTGTTCATTGAAGATGCTATGCAGGTGAGTGTGGGCTCCCTGCTGCTGCATCTCCCTGCCCCTCCAGTCCTGGCTGTCCTGGGTCAAGGCCTCAGCTGCTGGCCTGCGAGTTAGTAGCATGTCAGCGGGCCCTTGGCCTGGTGGCTGTCCTGGAGTTCTTGCTGTGAAGAGGTAGGTGACTGGGTACTGCGGTCCTTGAGGTGTTGATTCACCACATGCCAGGGCCTGTCCTGGGCCTCCCCGCTCCAGGTCCTAGGTGGGGCGACATCCCAGAGGAGGACGTAGTGCTGGGGACAGCGGCAGGCCTCACACATAGAAGAGCCTCGTAGGTAGGCAGGGACATAGTTGTGCCTTCTGCAGATCTTCCCCAGTGTCCCCTTAGACAGCTGGCCTTTGGGGAACTCGGTCTGCCTGGCAAGTCTGGCAGCTTGAGGGGGTCTACAGCTGCAGCGGGGGGGCACCTGGGCCGGGTCCACGCGCCGACACAGATCCTGCCTGAGAGGGACAGAATCCATCCCTACCCCTGGGCTTGACCGAGCGGGTGGCTGGGTGTGCCCTGTGTTGGCTGTGCCTGTGGTAATGTGGGGACGCCGTCAGGACTTTGGCATTGCGAAGGGCCCTGCTCACGTCCTCCCTGCGACCCTTCCCTCCCAGTACCGCTCCATCTCCCACCGCATGGACGCCGGCTCGATGTGGCTCTACCGATGCTACTACTCGAACGCGTGCCAACGGTGAGAGTGCACCTGTGGCGTGTGGGGTTCCATGTCCTGCTTGGTGGGGGTGGTGGCCTCACCCATTCTAGACTCTACCTGCTTCTGTCCAGGTGGGCACCCTCCCTGTGGGCTCAGAGGGGGCGTTAGTCTCCCTGAGGCGGGAGCCCTGGTGAGGGCKGTGGGCCTCCGGGTGATGAGAGCTCCCTTCTCAGGATGCTCGGCCAGCCCGGGGCAGTACTGGGCCGGGAGGTGCCAGCCCCTGCTGACCCCGAGCGGCCTGCGTTTGCCTGCCAGGCACTTCTTGGCTCTGAGGGCAGCTGCTGCTTGTGCCTTAACCATGTTCTGCCTCCTTCCCAGGATCCTGAGCTTCACCATTTTCTGCATCCTGGCCTTGGCCTTTATTGAGACCCCGTGTTCGCTCACGAAGACTGCCGACGTGCGCTACCGCTCCCTGCGCTGGGAGCCGCCCTGTGGCCTGACCGAGGGCATCGAGGGGCTGTGCTTGCTGGTCTTCCTGACCGACGTGTCTGTGAAGGTACGGTGGGCGGCCGGGGTGCCTCTGGGAGTACTCAGGGGCTGACCTTTGTGGGGGCACAGTGCGGCTACACAAGAGGACTGAGTGGTCTCACCTAAGGGCACCCTGTCATCCCCTAAAGAGGAGGGTGTGGGACAGAAAGGGGTCTCTTGCCCACACAGTGGCTGCTGCACATCTGACTCTCGATTCTGTCTGTGACAAGATCCCTCTGGAGGCTGCGGGTGGCCCTTGTGGCTCATGTGGGCCTGTGGCTCTGTCGGCCTAGGAGCCTCCAACTCCCCCACTGGGCACGGAAGGGCCGGCACTCTCCAGGCTGAGTGAAGCCTTCCAGAACTGTGGTCCCAGGGCCCCCATGGCCTGGGTCAGGCTGCACGTGGCCTCCTGGTGGTGCGGTACCTTTGCTGGGAGCCTGCCTTGCAGTCCCTCCTGGGAGGGGTGGGTTGCGTGGCTGGATGCTGGGGGGTGTGCAGAGAGAGGCAGGCTCTGGCAGTTCTTCCATCTTTTTTTTTTTTTTTAAATGTTTTTATTAGTTGTTGTTGGACCTTTATTTATTAACCTTGCTTATATGTGGTGTTGAGACTTGAACCCAGTGCCTCCCTCGTGCTAGGCAGGCGCTCTGCCCTGAGCCCTAGCCCAGCCCTCCCCTTCTCTTTTTAACCCACAAACGGTCAACAGGTCTGGGATTTTTAAACTGGAACCAAAACTGGTAAGAAGTTGATGTGAGCTGTTCTGAGTGGCTGGTGTATTTGGTGGCCTTTAGATGAGAGTGGCCACGTGCTCTTATCTGCAGGGGTGACCTCAGGAGGCTGTCTTGCTGGTGGGAGTGGCGGTTAGGACAGGGAAGAGCAGACTAAAGCCCAGCCCACGTCACCTCCTGCTGTGGTCTAGGTGCCCTGTGCTGGGCACTGTCTTGTCCATCCCCCCAGGATGCCTTCCCAGCCTGCCTTCCTGCACTGGTGGCTTACATGGGCAAATTGGGAACCCTGTGACCAGGGAGGACGCTGAGGCCCATGAGGCTGAGGTCGCACAGCTAGTGGTGGTGCTCTTGGCCAGAGGCTACTTCCTGACCACGTGGAGGTGGCCCTGTGGGGCAGTCTCCTGCTCTGTGGGCTCCTCCAGTGGGCACTGACATCCCCGCCTGGCTGCAGGCGCATTGCTCATCGCCCCCCCGTCTCCTGCAGTGCTTCCTGGTCGGGCGGGCCCAGTTCCAGAGGAATGTGTGGCTGCTGGCCTACATCGTGGTGCTGGCTGTGTCTCTTGTGGACTGGACCGTGTCCCTCTGTCTCCTTTGTCAGGAGGTGCGTGGTGAGGACATTCTGAGGTGGCGGGAGCTCCTTGGGGTTGTGGGGCACAGGTGCTGCTGTCTGGGATCCRGCTGCTGTCCGTTTGCCTAGCGCTGCCCTCGCCCTGTAGCCCTTGGGCTCCTGTTGGGCAGGGAACCATGCTCCCACCTGCGCACGGTGACCTGCTGCCTGGAGAAGGCAGGAGGCGTCCTTGGGCATCCCGAGCATGAGAGGATGACCTGGGAGCACATCCTGGGCCTCTAGCTCCTGGCCCTCAGCCCGCCTGGCAGCCAGACTCACTTGCCTGGGTCTCCATGGAAGTGCCACCCTGGTCCCTTGCTATGCCCAGAGCCATACCCCAAGCTCTGTGCAACCTAGCAGTGTTGCACAGCCAACCCCAGAGTTCTGACCACAGGGCCTTTGTTCCCTGCAGAACACCCTTGGGTGCCTTGGTGGTGTTGAGCGGTGACAGGTCGGCCGCTCACAGCCGCGTCTGTCAGGGTCTGTGGGGGAAGGAGACCCATCGGGTGCTGTTGTAGGGAGAAGTGGAGAAAGACCAGCAGATACCGGGGGTTGTTGGCATATTGGCACCTGAAGCCCCTGGGAGGGGACTCCAGAGCTGGGACCTTCCCTGCCTTTGGACTTCTGGGAGGGGTGGCCCAGCGGGGGCTGCTGCTGGGAATGCAGTAGAGGGGGGGAGTGCGTTGCCCTCCCACCTCCAGCTGGCAGACCCAGGCCCATGAGCGCAGGGAGCCACTGCCCGAGAGGGAAAGCCTCCTCCATGACCTCCTGCTGCTATGAGGGGCAGCCTCTGGCTCTCCCATAAGTGCTGCCCTTCTCCCTTCTGAGAAGGGGAGGACGGCCCAGCAATCGTGAAGCTGAGTGACAGTCAGGGCATCCGCCTGACTGGCCAGCAGATATTCTAACCCACTGGCTGAGTTACCAAGCTAACCTCACTGAGAAGGGCGAGGAGGGGCGGTGGGAAGAGTCCACTGGTAAGCACTAACAGGCCTCCGCCTGCCAGGACCTGTGCAYGCACGGAAACAGCCCTGGCTGTCCAGCTGGTCATATCCTAACTGACCTCTGTCCTTCCCTGCTGCTGAGTGGGGATGTCATACTGCATGGCCTGTGGGGGGAGCCCTGTGATGCCGGACCACAAGACCAGAGCCTCTGCCTGTGGGCAGCCTGTGACTGCGTCTGGGCATGCGGGGTACCCATGCCCCTGYAGAGCGGGGGCAGGTTGGAGCCCCTAGCTGTGTTAGGTCACCTCCATTCCCTTTGGCCTGCTCAGCCCATGCCCGGGGCTGGGGCCCTTCCAAGGATGACAGACGCAACCCAGAGAGGGCCAGCAAGTTCCTGGATGGGTCCCTCTAGAGGGCCTGCTGTGCCGGGTGCTGGTGGACCTTATCCAGTAGGACCCAGGTTCTGTGTGAGGGAGAGGCTGCTGACCCCTGAGCAACGCCAGACCCAGGTGTCATTCCATAGTGCAGCTGGCTCTGTCAACGGGGACCAGGGCAAGCTAGAGAGGAAGGGATGGCCGTGACGTGCCACTGAGCTTGGCAGGCTGGTGCTGAATCCAGCAGGGCCCTCGATGGGCCTGAGTCCCCTGGGATGTCTGCCCCTGGGATGGCAGGGGTGGGTACAAGTGAGGACACAGACAGGGTTCTGAGTCTGCCCTGGGCTCTTCCAGCGTCTGCGCATCCGCCGGCTCCTCCGCCCCTTCTTCCTGCTGCAGAACTCCTCCATGATGAAGAAGACCTTGAAGTGCATCCGGTGGTCGCTGCCAGAGATGGCCAGGTGTGCTCTGGGTTCCTGGGGCTGCAGGGCTCCCGTGCAAGTGCATAGCCCGAGGGCCTGAGGATCGGCCTGGGCACTCCTGCCCAGAGTGCTGCCTGAGAGGCCCACAGGTGCTTTGGCGCTCCGAGGAGGTCATTGGATCTGGCGGCCCCCTGAAAGGCCCTGGCAGACCTGCTGCTCCTCCCCTGTGGCTGCTGGTACTGGGGTGCCCCCTGACAGGTCTTTGCTTGCCCCTGTGCTCCAGTGGTGGTCCCCTGCCCCTGCTCCGCCGTCTCCTTCCACTCTTTCCACCCGCAGTTCTGTGGCTGCTGCTGAGTGTTAAAAAGTTCTGATGGCGTCCCTGCTTGCAAGTCCTTGTCATCACCAGAAAGTTGGGGCTCTTGGGGCCAGTCTTAGCTCTCCATAAGTCCCCTCCCCTGCCCACARAAATGTCACTCATAGTCCTCCCTCTGCCTTGAATCCCTTCCTTGGTGGCACATCTGGCTGATGTCCCTCTCCTTCAGCCAGAAGGATGGAGGTGCCCTTGGGCCCTGGGTCATGCCCCTGGGGTCGTCTTTGTCCCACCACAGAAGGACGGCTCTGCGAGGCAGGAGCAGGCCGTCTTCCAGCCTCTTGGGCTGARTGCTCAGCAGGTCCTCTGGGGACAGGAGGGGATGGCTGTGCCTGACTCTGCCCCAGGTGCCCCCTAGGCCAGTGGGCGGGGGCCTACACCTGGTGGGTGCTGAGCCCCGCCCTCTCCCCAGCGTCGGGCTGCTGCTGGTTGTCCACCTCTGCCTCTTCACCATATTTGGGACGTTGCTGTTCACCGTGGGCGAGGAGGTGAGGTGGTGGGCGTGGCCAGAGGTGGGGCTGGGCTGTCCTCTGCACTGGCTAACCCTCCAGCAAGGTCTGTGCACATGTCTGTGGAGAGTCACCAGGCCGCAGGGAGTGAGGGCCTCGCAGCCCTGCCTGAACGGTGTAACCAGGAGTCACGTGGCCACCTTGAGCCCAAGGTCTACCTTCAGGGGCCCTAGTGCTCCCAGCGCCCCACTGCTGGGGCCCTGATGGCCCCAGTTCTCCTGGGCTTGGGGCCACTGTTCCCATCCTGCCCCACCCCTGCCACCTTCTTGCCGGTTGTCCAGGGGGTAGTTCGTAGGTCCCTCCCCAAGGGGCTACCCAGCCTCACACTGAGCCTTCCTCTGCACCCCTCCTTGACTGGGGCCCCTTGGGTCTGCACTGGCTTCTGGGAGTGCCCCTGCCAACACTCCTTGTCTTCAGCCCTTGACCCTGATCCCCGCTCTGCCCAGCCCCAGCTGAGCCTTTGACCCCCAGCAGGTTAGTGTTGTATGAGGGTGTGCCCCTGTCACCTGGCCTCGAGGCCTGCTGTGGGCCCCCCACTTTCCATCCTCTGGGTTTGCCCTCATGTCCGGGCTGCCTCAGGCCTCGGCCACCCTGCTTCTTTACTCCTTTGTCCTGGGATGTGGCTGGTCGTGGTCAGCAGTCAGGGCTGGTTTTTGTGAGTTTGAAGAACCTCTAGGGTTGGGGCTATGCCGCCCAGGAGGGGAGCCAGGTGCACTTCTAACCCGGGAGAGGGGTCAGCCCGAGCCACGGCTCCACGCCTTCATGTCTCTGTGTGAGTGTGCCTGTGTGCGCCTCCGTGCTTGTGTCTGGGGTGTGTCTGTGTCTGTTGGGTGTGTCCCTCGGTGACAGGGCAGTGCTGGACTGTGAAGGTGGCCCTACTGCTGACCCCCAGGACCTCCGCATGACTGTCCCATGAGGGTGGTAGTCAGTTGCCGCTTCCATAGCCCAGGGGAGGCTGAGTCAGTGTGGGGTGGAGGTGTCCTTGGCCTCTAGCCTGGGAGTGCTAAGTGTCCCCAGCTTCTGGGAGTGTGGCTCCCCCTCCAGGTGGGTCTCGGCCCCAGCAGGGGAGCTGGCTGAGCAGGGTGACGTTGAGACCCTTGGTCTTGGCAGAGCCCCGCTCCCTGCCTGGCTGGAGTGGGCGGGGCGGGCGGTGGTGACTGGCCCCGTGAGGTTCTTACCCTCTCCAGCATGGCCTGGAAGGCAGGCTGGGCACCTGCGCCTGCAGGTCTGGGTGGCCTTGCTCAGTGTCCCCTGCTCGTGCCCACTGTCCCAGTGCCTGACCTCGCTTCAGCCCTTTGGTAAGCACAGTCCAGGGCCAGCCTGCTCGGCATGCGGGCTGTCCCCACGCAGTCGGGTTGGAGGTGCTTCTGAGGACGGGTTGGTGTAGGGCCTTGGTCCCATGGAGCAGTGTACATGCCACCTCTGGATGTGCCCCAGGCCAGCCTGTCGTTGCTGGCAGTGGGTGGGGCAGAAACCCTGGGCTCAGGCTTCCTCTGCTCCCCCACAGGGTGGGCCTTGGGGTGGGGGCTTGGGGTCGGAGGGTCACATGGGCGGCCCCCACAGGAATTGACTGTAGAGGTGGGGCAGGAGCCCTGTTGGGTTCAGGCCCTGGGCGGCGCCTGTCTTCCTGGGGAGCTGCCCACCAGGGGTGGCCTTGTCTGTAAATGGGTGCTGTGCGCTCGCTGGGAGCCAGGTGCCATGCTGGGGCCTTCCTTGGTCAGCTCAGAGCAGCCGAGCTAGGCCTGGGGGGTGGCTTGTTTCAAGCCAGGAGGGCCAAGCTCACATCCAGTTGCTGCCCACCCCCTGGCCCTTCGCGTTCTTGCTCCATCCTGGCCCTGCTGAGGCCCTGTGGGGGCTGTGTGCCAGACAGGCCCCTGGAGCCTGTGAAGTCCTCCCCTCAGGAGTTTGTGGTGCCCTTACCACCAGTCGCTTGTCCATGCTCAGCACACCTGGGCGGTGGGTGGAGGAGCAGTAGATGAGGACAGCTTGGTGGATGGTCCTGGCTGCTGGGTCCCCAGGTCGGCCGACTGGAGGCCCAGCCGTGGGGTGAAGGCCTGTGTGGCTTCCCAGAGCCTCCTCTGCTCTCGGCAGGATGAACATGAGAAAAAGGAGAGGCTGACCTATTTCCAGAACCTCCTGGACGCCTTCACTTCCCTCTTGGTGCTGCTGACCACGGCCAACAACCCTGACGGTGTGTGCGGGTGGGCAGGGCAGGCGGCCTGGGCGGAGCCCCGCGGCCTGGAGGGAGCGTCCAGGGCTGTCCGACCAGGAGACGGGTGACTCTGGAATCCTCTGTCCCTTTTTCCTGTTTTTCATCCCTTTCTCCCTTCTTGCTGCTTGTCTTTCTGTCTGGTTCCTTGTTTTCCTGCTTCTCCTGCTCCCTGCATCTTGCCTCCTTTCTCCTCGGAGAAGCTGACTGTGAGCCGTGTTCTCTGTGTGACGATGAATGGCGGTGGTCAGTGGGCCCTCTGGCAGCCTCATTGGGGCCCTGCCACTTTCCCTGCCGCTGCCCAGGCCCAGCGTGAGGTGCGTGCTGCTGGGGAGCATTGCATGCGAGAGACCCTGGGGTCTTGGCTGGCTGCGATGGGTGCTGGCAGGTCCCCTACCTGCCCAGGTGCAGCTGTACCCAGAAGGGAGGCCTCTGGCCTCGTGGGCTTGGCTGTGGCTCTGCCACGCTGGCTGGTGCCTTTCATTTGGGCTTAGGGATGCTCGCACCAATGAGGCCTTCCCCACGGGCAGCCTGGGATGCCCACTCGGGCGAGCCAAGGACCCTGCCCTGAGCTTGGTCCCCCTGTGCTGTGAGACCCAGCTAGTCTCTGTGGGGAAGGGGGTCTGGCCGCAGGGAGGCTGATCTCAGCTTGGCCCAGGGTTGACTGTCCTCCATGGATCTCCATGGGACCTTCCTGTCCCGGGAAGGGCCCAAGGTGACAGGCTGGGGTTCGAGCCAGAAGCCTTACTTCTCCCACAGCCTCCTGTGCTGTGGGGCATCTGGCCCGAGTCACATGGGAGCTGGGAGGGTCCCCGCGGGCTCGAGCCTTCTGTCTCTGGTCCCTTCCAGTGATGATCCCTGCGTATTCGGAGAACCGGGCCTACGCCATCTTCTTCATTGGCTTCACCCTGATAGGTGAGCGCCCCGTCGGGCGGAGCCTCCCAGGCCACAGCCCCGGTGCTCAGGTGTGCCCTGACCTGGACCCCGCAGACACCTTCCCCGCCCGGTCCCTGCCGCCCTGCCACCCCTGGCTGCCACCCCTTGTCCATCCTTCCACCTGTGCGGGCCTGGCCTGCTTGTGCCCACTGATAGACGGGGCGTGAGGCCCTCGAGGTGTTTGTCCTGCTGCGAGCAAGGAGTCTTCCGGCCACCGTGGTCTCTAGTCCTCTTTGTGCCCACTCACCTTGCCCAGGGGAGTGTGTAGGACCTGCCATGCTGGGGCTCCAGGCCACTCTGAGCTGACCGAGGCTGTTCTGTGGCAGGGAGCCTGTTCCTGATGAATCTGCTGACCGCCATCATCTACAACCAGTTCCGGGGCTACCTCATGGTGAGGCGAGCTGTGTTGTGGGCTGTGTCTGGAAGTGTCTGAGACCCAGCGTGGAGTGGCCCCAGCTGGCCAGGGGGTAGCCCTCAGCCTTGAAGGCCATGTGGGTCAGGCAGGGGCCACTGCCTCCCGTGACCAGCTGGGACACACCCTGTGTCATTGCCTTGAGTCATTTTGGGAGTGCAGGAGTTGTTGCCGTGGCTACCCAGGGTCCCCAGAGCTGTCCCAAACCTTAGAGTGAAGCTGCCAGGGACCCACATAGGAGTGAGCCAGTGGGCTTCACTTCCCCTGGGCCTTGGCCACCTCCCTCCTTTGAGGACAGCCCCCCTGGGATCTGTCATCCCCTGTTTGAGGGGTGGAGAGGCCAAGGATGGCTGGCTTCCCTGGAGGCTGCTGGGGCCTCCTGTCTGCCCACCCTCGGGGGAGGGGGAGGGGGAGAGGCAGGGGCCGGCGGGGTGTGGGGGAGTCCACTGCTCAGAGCGTCCTCCTTGCAGAAATCTCTGCAGACCTCGCTGTTCAGGAGGCGGCTGGGGACCCGTGCTGCCTACGAAGTCCTCTGCTCCATGACAGGGTAGGCTGGGCTTCTCCAGGCCTGAGTGTGGCCAGGGCCCTTTCTCCCCAGGAAAGCGGCTGTTACCCTGGGTGGGGTCTGGGCGTCCCCGAGGGGTCTCCCCAACAGCCCCTGCTGCCTGGCCACGGGCTCGGGTTCATCTGGAATCCTGGAAATACTCTCTGGGCTCCTGCTGTTCTCATGTCTGCCTCGGCTCCTGCCTCACCAGGCGTCCACTCTGCTGTGTTGTGGACGTGGGCAGAGAGCTCGAGGGCATCGCTGAGAGCGTTCTGGACCTGCTGCTTGGTGGCAGTGGAGTCTGCTCCTCTGAAGGGAACGAGTGTCTCCCTGGGTCTTAGATGATGGTGGCTGTAGCACACCTGCAGGGGGTGCTGCTGGGAGGTGCCCCTCAGGCAAGGCCCTGCCCAGGGCAGTGAGGGTATCCAGGACAAGTGCCGGGGAGGCTGGGGAGGGCTGCCACGGGCAGTGCTCACTGGCGGGTTTCCTTCCCACAGAGTTGGGGTGATGCCCCAGGACTTCCTGCAGGTGCTTGAGAAAGCCCAGCTGAGCAGTTCCCAAAAGCAGGCCATCGCGGAGGTAACTGCTCCCATGTCTGCCCAGCCTTTGTGCTCTCCGAGGCCGCCCCTGGGGTTGGGGCTGGGGCGTGGCAGTCCCCTTGCGGCCTGCTGACAGGCTTGCCTCCGCAGAAGGTGCGCTCCCTTGATGGTGTGCTGCTGTCAGCTGACGAGTTCCAGAAGATCTTCAGTGAGGTCGACAGAGGTGTGGTCAGAGAGGTAACGGGGCGGGCCTGTGCCGCCTGCCCAGCCCAGGGCCACGCGTTCTTCTAAGGCTCTCTGCTGGGTGTTTCCCCTCATGGGCACTGGGCGGAGGTCATTTGGCTTTTGCAAACTGGGGAGACTTTTTCACCTGAAGAGATAGACCAGCGCTGGGAGCTGGCCTGGGCCAGGCTGGCCCGGGGAGCTGCCTCCGGGGGTCCTGTCCGCCCTGGAGGTGGAGTACTGTCTCTGCACAGCCTCCACCTCTCATCCTGCCACGGACCTTGGCCTCCAGTTCAGCACTGTGTAGAGGCTGTGGCAGGTTCTGGTGGGCGGAGGTGCCTGGAAGGAGCAGAGGTGTCCTGGGCAGCAGAGGGGCAGTGGAGGGGCTGCCATTTCCACTACTTGGCCTGGGGACCCTGCAGGAACCTGAGCAGGGCTAGGGCAGGAGGCAGAGTCCTCTGCATCCTGCCTTCGGGCTCCTGCTACGTTCGTGCAGGGAGGCCACAGGAATGAGCCTGCACCGGGGGCTTCCRGCTCAGGGTCTCGTCGGACATCCTGGGGCTGGGGGTCCGAGATCAGGGCTGGCAGCCTGGCTCCTCCGAGGCCTCTCCTTGGGCGGCAGGTGGCGAGAGCCTTCCTCACGTGGTCCTCACCGTGAAGGCCTGTGTTCACTTGCTGAACTCTCAAAAGCCCCATTTCCAAGTGCAGCCGCCCCTGGGGTCCCGGCCTGCGCTGAGCAGAGGACAGTTGGGAGGCAGCGCTTGCCCTGGGCCGTGGGCTAGCCAGGCTCCTGCCGGCCCCCGTGGCCGCAGCCTGTCACGTGTTTTCTTCAGGACGTGCTTTCCTCAGGTGTCTCTAGGCCACCTCGACCTGCGTGGGATGGTGTGAGCTTGTCCCTGTCATCGTTTGGGGTGTCCCTCTTGGGGCCTGGCAGGGCTAGTGATACTTCAGCAGGGGACGCTGTGTGTGTTCAGCCACCACACCCCTGCTTGGGACAGGGTGGCACTGAGTTGTCAGGTGGAGTCACCTGGAGGTGCAGAGTGAGTGTCTTGGAGGTCGGCGTTGGCGTGGATTGGGGACGGCCTCGGCCAGCTGGCCTCTGTGTAGCCTGCTGCAGGGGGTGGCTCCTGCCCCAGGTGGAGGCCCCCTCCGCAGCACCAGGGCCGGGAGCGTGGTGGGTGTGTAGTGGGCGGTGTCTCTCCTGCAGCTGGCCACCCAGGGTTCTGGTTCCCCGCTSTCCCAGTGATGCCCACTGGTCTCTGGCTGTCCCTGGCAGCCGTCTGCAGACCTGTGGGTACTGTGGTCACAGTCACATTCACACTCCTGCCCTCTCCCAGGGCCACGACCTGTGGGTGTCCATGAGGGGGTGCTGCCTCCAGGAGGCAGGGAAGACAGATGGGCTGTGGCTGTCGAGATCCAGGGCAGCAGGCTAGGGCGGGCTAGGGCCATGAAGGCCCAGGACTGGAGCCACGTCCCTGCTCTGGCCTTGTCCTTCCCCGTCTGCCAGTTTGCTCTTCCGTGGGTAGAGTTTGGGGTAGAGTCCTGAGAGCTGTGGTGCAGCTTGTTTGGATGCCACCCTCTTCCCCACAGGCTGCGGGCAGGGCCGTATTTCAGTTGGAGTGAGGAGCAGGAAGGCTGGACGTCGGGTGGAACTCAGGCCCTGAGCATTGCCAGGCCAGGGGTCCACACTGAGYGAGCCCTCCAGCCCTTGGACGGTTTTATTTTGAGACAGGGCCTCGTGAAGTTGTGCTGACTGGCCTTGAAATCTGAGATCTTCCTGCTTCAGCCTCCGGAAGGGATCATAGGCGTCCACCACCATGGTGGGCAGGGTGTGGTTTTTGGTGGCCCCTCCAGAGTCACGGGCACTCGGGAGGTCAGCTCCTGTCCATCATCCTGGCCCTGCCCAGGTTGCTGGTCCACTTATGCTGATGAGCTGCTGATGAGCTGCAAGTGAGACCTCCCTGCCAGTTTCCAGAGAAGCCTGTCCTCTTAACGAGGGGCTTGGGGTTAAAGACGAAGTGGTGGTTGTCGTGGACAGTAACAAAGGGTGGCGAAGCCCCCTCGCCGCCCCTGGAGGCCACCCATCCAATTGCGTGATTTGTCATTCCACGTCACATGCAGCATGGAAGTGCTCTCTCCGTGTGGCTGTGTGGTTGTGATGGGGTGCTCAACTCTGTTGGCCAAGGTGTCCGTGTGTGGTCAGGTACAGAGTGGACCCCTCCCCAGGCTGCAGCTCCTCTGTGGTGCGGCTCAGCTCTCAGGTGGTGGGCATGCAGGAGGCAGTGGTCAGGGTGTGCTGGAGGTAGGTGGCCTCTGGGCGTTGGCCTCCACGTTGCCAGGTCAGGCTGCAGCTCTGGGTCACCTGGAGTACCATGTGGCTGGAGGACTCTGGAGGTCCCCCTATCACAGCCCTGCCCCACTCCAGAGGGCACCCAGAGCCTGCACTCCCACCATGTCCAGCGTTCCTCATGCTCACTGGTGGCCAGGGACGTTGTTGGGGACTGGCCTGTCGCCATGGGGCAGGTGGCGAAGGATGAATTGGGAGCCCAGGGACGGGACCTGAATGCCGAGGCCTCTGTTCCCGTGGCCCGGCGTGGTGGCCTCTGAGCTGCGTGAGTCTGAGGCCACGGCAGCCCCTGCCCCGTCTGAGTGCAGGCCCCGTGCTCCCCTCCTGCAGCCCCTCCTCTGCCTCCGTGTCTTCTCCATTTTCTCTTTTTGTGTGTGGAACCCCCTGTGGGGACGAACTGCTCTCTTTCTGCCCACCTGCCGCAGTGGCCTCTCCTCACGTGGGGCTGCCCGGCACTTGACATGTGGCCTTTGCCACAGAAATGGTATCTAACTTCACTGGATTGAAAGGAAATGCCCACGTGTGGTTGGCGGCGCTGGCTTTCTGTGTGGTTTGCCGGGTTGTTCGTCCCCATCCTGTGCACACGGGAGGTGTCTGAAGCAAGGCCACGGAGCTTGGGAAGTGCTGGTCTCGTGAGGGGGCCAGGCCGGAACTCCCACGGCGGCGCTGGGCTCCTGCTGCCCTGGGCACTCCCGCTGTGCCTGGCTGTGTCAGGCTGTGTGCCGTGCATGCACCTAACATGGCCGTGGGTCCCAGCGTGGCTTGCTGAGGTGCCCGTGGGGTCGTGGCTCCCTGGTGGCGGGGAGGCGGTTTGGGACTGCTTCCTCGACGGCCGGGCCTGCCACCGTGCGGTTCTAAGCTGCGGGTTCCCTCCTCAGCACCCGCCGAGGCCCTGCTACCAGTCCCCGTTGCTGCAGAGCGCCCAGTTCCTCTTCAGCCACCGCTACTTTGACTACCTGGGCAACTGCATCACCCTGGCGAACCTCGTGTCCATTTGTGTGAGCGCCGGCTGCCCCTGTGGGTGTGGGAGGCGGGTCTCTCAGGCCCCCTGCCCTGGCCGTGCTGCCTGCCGTGTGTCCTGCTGGCGCCGTGAGCCGCCCTCTGCTCTGGCTTTGCAGGTGTTCCTGGTGCTGGATGAGGACGTGGCCCCCAGTGACCGGGACAACTTTGTCCTAGGGGTAAGCTCTGGGATCCCTGGCCCAGCAGGCCGTCCGCTGTGTTGAGGAGAAGCGAGGCAGGGTGGCCTGGTGCAGAGCACAGAGTGGCGCCGTGGCGGGAGGCCGGGAGAGCTGGGGGCCCGTGGGCAGGGTCTTCCTGGCCCTCCGCTCTCAGCTGGCAGCTGGCTGTTGGCCCTGCACCTCATGTGGAGAGCTCCTGTTAAATCCCTCCCAGCGCTGAAGTTCTTCTCCCGGGCAGTAGGTAGAGCCACCAGCACCCTGCTGTCCCCTGCCTTAGGGGGTCTGCTGAGTCCCTGAAACCATGACGTTCCCTCGTTCCCTAAGAATAAAGCTAAGAATGAAGCTCGATTTGCCAAATTACAAAGTGACCTCGTTGTCACGGGAGGCCTGGAGTGGAGGGTGTCACTCCATCAGTGTGGGGGTGGCGCTCCCCAGGCTTCCCCTGTTTCCCCTTCTTCATGGCGGGATTTTCCCTGCCTGGCGCCAGGGGGCTCCCGGGCCCTGAGGGCAGGGTGGTGCGGGGCTGGCTGCTCTTCCTCCTGAGGAGCCTGGGGCAGGCCTGTGTCTGTCTGTCCGTCTTAGCCTTGCTTGTCTTTCTGTGCTGGGGTGAAGCCTGGGCCTCCTTGTGCCAGGCCAGCCTCCGCCTCTCAGGCCTGCTCCTCTGCTCTCCACACTGGAGCAGTGTGCTTGTCGGGAGGGCCCCAGGCGGACGCGCCGGCAGCCAGCTCTGGCCCTCCAGGGGGCTCCGTGCCAGCCCCTCCACGCAGCCGCCTCCGTGCAGTCGGGTGTTTGTTCCTCCTCCTTAGTGGTCACCTCCTCCCAGGAGGACGGAGGCCATGTTCGCTGGGAGTAGGAGGCAGGCCACACACCTGGGAGCGTGACCTGCGCCTCCCTGTGGGCTGTGGGCCTGTGGTGTGGGAGGGGTCCTGTGGCCGCCTGGAGGGGAGAGCCACTGGCTATTTTATTTACCAGTGGAGACCACCTTTGACGAGGAGCCCCCCCAAACTCTCACCAGGAACTGGGGAGCCCCTGTGAGCCGGGAGCCCTGGGGAGGCCTGAGTGGGGAGACGGGCAGAGCGGGGTGCCGGGTGCTGTGGTGTCAGGCAGGGGGTGGTGTGGCCGCAGGGCCGCGATGGCTGAGGCGCCTCCTCCCTCAGGTGCTCAACTGCGTCTTCATCATGTACTACCTGCTGGAGCTGCTGCTCAAGGTCTTCKCCCTGGGCCCGTGGGGCTACCTGTCCTACCCCGAGAACCTGTTCGACGGCCTYGTCACCTTGGCTCTGCTGGTAAAGTTGGAGGTGCCCGGCCATCCCCTCGTGTGGTGTGGGCTCGGCCTGTGGCTTTGGGCTGTGCTGGTCTGAGGCTTTGCTGAGGACCCGAGTGCCTAGGGAGCAGGGCTCCTGCCTCAAGGGACGGGGCCGGCCTAGCCCAGCTGAGCTGCTTGGCAGGTGCCGGGGGCTGCAGGAGGTGGGTTTCTACAGCGTCCAAGTGCAGTGGAGTGAGTGGCCCTCAGGCCCGCACACACTCCACCCTCAGTGTGACCTTGGGTGGGGGGGAGGGCCTGCTGGTGTGCTCAGGTGCTCAGGTGCCCAGGGTGCCCTCAAAGGAGTGTCCACGCCTTTCCCCAGGTGCTGGGCCTGGGGGCGGTGCAGCAGGACGCTGGAGTGGTCCACGGGAGCATTTGCCCCTGACCACGCTGCAGGAGAACCCGGGGCCTTCCCGTCTGTCCTTGATTGAGCTGCTCCAGTGTCTGCAACTCCTAGGCCAGAGTGACACAATTCCTGTCATCTGGAGCCACAACAGGGGGATGCAGACGGAGCTGACCTCTGCCTTTGGGGAGAAGGCATGGGTCGCCCGCCAGCTGTGGTGGTTGGCAGGCTGCGGGTTGGCGTTGCTCTACAAGGCTTTCTTTTGTCATTGAAGGTTTTGGAGATCCTCACGCTGGCTGTGTATGGGTTCCCCTACCGAGGCTGGTATGTGACCCAGGAGAACCCTGGGGGCCCCATTGGCAGCCCCACCCCGTGCCTCCGGTGGCCCAGGCCCTGCCCAGGGCTCTGCGTGGCGCAGCAGGCGAGCTCGGCCAGGGCGGGGCCTGCCTGATGGGAGGGGGGCAGCCTCTTTGTGCTCGTGAGGGTCTGTTCTGTAGCCTGGGTGCCCCAGGCGTTGGGCAGTGGCCCCCTTGAGGTGCCCTCCTGAGCAGCAGGGGTTCCTTGTCCCAGCACTGCCATGGGCCTGTGGCCCCTGAGGTGCTGAGGGCCAGAAGCAGACACTCCTGAGCCCCCAAACTCAGGCCTGGGGACTGGTGATCACTGGGATCAGCTGGGCCCCTCTGCTCCAGGAAGGTCCTGGCGGGAGCACCTGTCCTGTGTGGGACCTTTGGTTGTCCCCTTCCACAGTCTACCCCCGTATAGTGGTAGGGCTAGGGCTTGTGCCCATTGGCCCCGGTTCTGGCCAGTCAGAGGGCACGTGTGGTGGGCTGGTGGGTCCTGGCCTTGCACCAGGACTTCTGCTGGTGTGGTGCCTGTCCCAGGATCTGTCAGTAACCAGTTGGTGCCGCGAGCATGACCCAGAGCACAGTGCAGGCCAGGACAGGTGGCCCCGTCGTGGGGGTACCTGGGGGCTGGCATGGGCCCAGAGCTTGCAGGAGGACACAGTGCCAGGACCTGGGTGCCCTGCAGGAGCTGCTTGGCCAGCACCTTGGTGGCAAGAAGCTGTGCCGCCTGCACCCCAGGACAGGCGTCCCCTTGTCTCTAGTGTGCACTGTACCCTGCCTCCTCTTGGTCCTTGCCGGGGAGTGGTGGGTGGATGTTCTGGGCAAGGAGCATACAGAGAAACCCCGAGCAGGGCCAGGTGGGGCAGGGCCAGGTCAAGGGGTGGGACTGAGTCTTGGCACCGGAAATGGGGTCTGGGGTGAGGGGCATAGGAAGAGGGTTGGAGGTCAGCGGCCGAGAAATGGGGTGGGAGACACGGAACAGTGGAGGTGGGGGTCTGGAAATGGGGTCGGGGAAGGACCTGTCTGTTCTGCCGGGACCTGAGCGCTCAGTTCAGGACTCAGTGACCTCTATAGATTGGGTCTTTGCCCTGTGATGCCTGGAGGCTGTGCTGGGCGGTGTGACCGTGAGGTCTGTGTGTGGCTGTCTGCAGGCCATGCCCTACTGCGTACCTCGTCCCCTGGTGGGTCTCTGGCCTCCACTCTGCCCATGCATCTCCCCAGGAAGCCAGAGATGCGGGGCCTGCTGTCGCTGTGGGACATGATGCGGCTGGTGAACATCCTCATCGTGTTCCGCTTCTTGCGCATCATCCCCAACATGAAGGTGCGTGCGCTGGCCTCTCTTGTCGTCCTCAGCACTGTGTGGCTCTGGGACAGGCAAGTCTGAGGCCACAGACCGTCCCCACCACCCCAGACGCCCTTGGGCACACCTCAGCCATGCCTGCATCTGAGGTGGGGCCACAGTTAGAGGCAGGCGAGTCCAGCCCTGCGTGTGGTGAGGATCAGGGCCACCGAGATTGGGTGTGCGTGTCCTCGGCTGTCCCAGGAGCCCGTGTGCTGGAGATGGCGGAAAGGCTTTGGTCTGGGTTCCAGGGGTGTGGTACGAGGGGCAGGTGGGGGGTGGCTGGTGGCCTCTCTGAGCCCCTATTTCTCTAATGTGCCCTCAGGAGCCGCAACCTGTGGGCAGGCAGGTGGTCAGTGGGTTCAGGCGCAGCCCTTGGAGTGGAGGCAGAGCGCTGCTCCCATCCTAAGCTCTTTTTGGGAGAGGTGAGAYTGAGGAGGTCAGACCCCCTTCCAGGTGTCTTGTTCCTTCCTCCCACCTCTCCTGAGGGTGTACCATGCCCCTGTGCTCGCCGCAGCAGTGGGTTTCCCATGGAAGGTGGCTGGGGTCCTGGGTGCAGAGGGAGCTGCTGAGCTGGAGCCTTCTGCACAGGACATGCATGCACACACATGTGTCCACATGGAATCACACTGTGCACACACGGCTGCATGCAACTGCAGGGCACACATGTGCAACCATGTGAACTCTAGACGGCACTCCTGCACACAGCCATAGAGCACATGCAGTCACATACATGTCCATATAACCATGTGCGGTGACGCATGTTCACATAACCATATGCAGTCACACACGTGTCAACATAACCACGTTTACGTAACTGTGTGCGTTCGCATGTCCACATAACCACGTCAGTCACACACATGTCCACATAACCACGTCAGTCACACACATGTCCATATAACCACGTGCAGTGATGCATGTCCACATAAGCAGGTGCAGTCACATACTGCACCATAACCCATGCAGTCACATRTCCTCGTAACCATGTGTAGTCATGTGCTCACAGCACAGCACATGCGTGTGTGTCATTGCATCACCCACAGTGTGCACACTGCACACATGTGGGTTGTGGGTCTGCCATGTCACACATGCTCGCAGGACGGTGTCACATACACACTGTTCAGGCACCTGTGTGCATGTGGGTGTCTGCGTGGGCTTGCACCCTCGCCCTTGTGGTGTCCACCTGCTGGCGCCCCTCTGCCTACAGTGTGCGGGGGGTTGCAGGCCTGGCTGGCCAGTGGGGATCCGTATTAGTGGGCACATCCAGGGCTGTTTCCTCGGAGCTGCCCTGGCCCACGGGTGGGCAGGCAGACACRGGGGCTCTGCCCAGGGGCACAGGACTAGGCCTGCGAGGCGGCCGGCCATGTGGGGAGTTCTTGGCACAGGTGGGTTTGGGCATTCGGGGTGTGGATGTGTGTCGATGGAGGTAGGTGTGGTGTGTGGACAGGTGTATGGGTCGTGTGGTGTGTGCAGGAGAGGGGGTGTGTGGGTAGCCAGGTGCACATCTAGGTGTGTCCAGGTGTGTGTGGGAGGTCATGCAGCACCTGTATAGGTGTGTCCCAGTGTGTGTGGCTGGCTTCAGGATGTGTGTACATGTGTGTCCCGGTGGGTGTGGGCAGCTGTGGGCTGAGTCTGTGTGTCCAGGTGTGTGAGCAGTGTGGGGACAGCTGCAGGGTGTGGCCACGTGTGGCCAGGTGKGTGTGGGTGGCTGCTGGGTGCCTGTGGGTGTGTGGCTTGTGGCTTGGTGTCCACCTTGCCTTTCTGTTCAGGGTCGTAGAGTGGGTACTGGTGCCCCTCAGTGGGCGGGAGGAATGAGGGGCTGTGCTTTCTTCCTACCTGCAGCCGATGGCCGTGGTGGCCAGCACCATCCTGGGCCTTGTCCAGAACTTGCGGGCATTTGGCGGCATCCTGGTGGTGAGTCCTGGAGGGTGCTAGGACCCTGGGCAGTGGACTTGGGTGGACTGGTCGACTTTGCCCTGTGGGCAGCAGGGTCCCTGCTTGGGGCATCAGCAGGGAGGTGAGGCCAGGCAGGTGCAGGGCTGGGCAGGAAGCCAGGTTGCTCCCCTTCCTGGAGGCGGGACCTGGGGCTGTCATGGTGGGGCTGGATCAGCATTCCTTTGCCAGGAGTCTGGGATGCCATCCCAGGGCCACCTTGACACTGGGGACTGGATGGCTTTGTCTGATGGCTGAGCTTGGGAGGAGGGCCCCATGCTAGCTGGGGTCCCTGAGCCGTGTTTCATTGGTAGGCAGCACCCAGGTCCCCTGGGGAGCATGGACACACCTGCCCAGCTCCACTGGTACCTGAGGTCACCTGGCCCCGGAGGTCGACAGTGTTTTGAAGTAGTGGTGCTCATGGCTGGGGGCAGCGGCCAGGCTGGGAGCCTGTGCCCAGGGCGGAAGGCTGTGGCCTCTCAGACCCTGGCTGGCTCTGGGCCAGTCAGGCTGACGGGGCTGCCGGGCTCCTAGGTGGTGTACTACGTGTTTGCCATCTTAGGGATCAACTTGTTCCAAGGTGCCATCGTGGCTCCTGGCAATGACAGGTGAGGGGTCCCTGCTCCCCTTGTGCCCACCCCCCGGGTGCCCTGCCTGGGGCTCCTGAGAACCACGGCACCCATACTCCTCTCTGAGTCCAGGCTGCAGAAGTGGGTGGGATGGGGGGTGGGCAATACAGGCCCAGAACCTGGAGCCCCACTGTGGCCCCGGAGTCCAGAGGAGCTGTGTCCGTGGTCATGTTGCCTGGGGGACACTCTGTTCTTCCTCCTTTTTCCCAGGGGCCTGAGGCAGGTCCTGGCTGAGCAGGGGGCTAGGGCAGTGCTGAGTGCTGCTTTTCTGGCCCCTGGCGCTGACAGGGGTGTTGTGTCCCCAGCCTGGCCCACGACAATGGCTCAGCGCCCTGTGGCAGCTTCGAGCAGCTGGAGTACTGGGCCAACAACTTTGATGACTTTGCGGTGAGTCCTGTGGCCTGACCCCTCCCAGTCCTGGCTTCCTGCCCCCAGGCCCCCCCTGCGCCCCCAGGCCTGCTCCCCGCCCCCCAGGACTCTCCCAACCCTGCTCTGCCCCGCAGGCAGCCCTGATCACCTTGTGGAACGTGATGGTGGTGAACAACTGGCAGGTGTTCCTGGAAGCCTACGAGCGCTACGCAGGCCGGTGAGCCCCACCCCCAGCCAGGCTCCCCCAGATGGCCGCCGCCTCCACTCCAGGTGCCCCAGCTGGCTCCACAGTGCGGGGTGGCTGGCTGAGCATCCTGGCCGACCTCATGTCCCATCTACGCTGCTCCTGGGCGATGGCTGAGGACGTGGGTACTCTCTCCTGGGTGGGGTCAGGACTGGACTTCCCCGCCTGCTTGCCCCAGGATGCGGCCCCTGTCCCCCACAGGTGGTCACTGGTCTACTTTGTGTTGTGGTGGCTGGTGTCATCCGTCATCTGGGTCAACCTCTTTTTGGCTCTGCTTTTGGAGGTACCRGACGTCCCTGCCCAGGCCTGTCTCGGTTTCTCTCGTGTCAGTCACTGGTGGGAAGCTGGGGCTGGGCCTTCCTGGTCTTTGGATGGCTGTGCTGGGCTGGTCTGGCCGTGGGTGCTGCTTGCCCTGGCTGCTGGGCTTTCTTGGGACACGCCTGACGCTGCACGGTGGTGCTGCTCAGGCCCGGGCCTGGTGCTGAAGGAGGGGCCCCAGCCCTTGCCATGGCAGGAGTGTCGCTGCCGGTGCCCAGGCGTCCAGGGTGAGATGCCCACCCTTGCAGTGATGCTGGCCACCTGGGCCCGGGAGCAGCAGGGCTGGCCTCACACAGGGCCCACACTCACTGCCCGCCCTCCTCCCTCCCGCTCCCCAGAACTTCCTTTACAGGTGGGACCCCCGCAGTCATGAGCGGCACCTCTCGGGGATGCAGCTGACCGCAGAGCTCATATTCAGGTGCGTTCGTGGGAAGCTGCTGTGAGCAGCCTCCTGGGGTGAAGTGCAGCAGCAGGCTCTGATGGGTCTCCCTGCCACCATGTCCCTTTCTCCTGAGCCACAGCTGAGTAGGTCACAGCAGCTCAGGGCCAGGGCCAGGAGTGGGCTGGGGCTCTCTGCTAGACGAGGCTCCAGCACGTGAAAGAGCCCCCTTTTCAGTTTCCTGGCCTCTGGGTGCTCCTGTGACCTTCCTTCCTGTGACCATTTGAATGTCTCTGTACTGGTCCAGGAAGGTGGCCAGTCACACAGGAGGTGGCCTGCTGAGGGTCTCATTTCTTGCACGGGCGCCAGCTGTGCCCAGTGCATGTCTGGGCTTTTGTGGTCTTTGCTTCCCTGCACTGCTGGGGCCGGAGCCCAGGGCCGGAGCCGCCGCAGAGCCCCGGCAGTGCCCTTCCGGCCTGTGGTGGTGTTGCTGGCGGCCCTGCGTCTGTCCCGAGGCTGGGTCTGGTCCTTGGGGTCCCAGTCCCTGTGTGTTGGTTCTGGCCCGTCTGGTTTGGGGACCCTCCCCTAAGCTGTGGCTCTCACCCAGCGCCTGGTCCAGGCTCCTGAGGTGCCCGTGGTCCTCTGCCTCACAGGGACATCCTGGAGGAGCCCAAGGAGGAGGAGCTGATGCACAGGCTGCGTAACCACCCGCACGTGCGGCTCTGCAGGTGACGCTCTGATGGCCCCTGGCCAACCGGCAGGAGAGAGGCTGGCTGAGGATGAGACGGCACCTGACCAAGCAGGACAAGCCTCCTCTCTGACTGACCAACTAGGGGACAGCAGGGGACAAGGAAGCCAGTCCCTCTTGCTGCCCTTCAGCCGCTGCGCTGCCGGGCTCTCCAGGTGGCCGCGCCCTGCTGCCGTCCTTCCCGAGCTGCTCCCGGGAGGCTCTTGCTTTTCTGTTGTGGAGGCGACTCTGGGGCCTTGAAGCCAGCCTGGAAGCCAGAGGCGGTGGCCTTCCCGTGCCGCCTGCTGGAGGCCTCCAGGGAYAGGGCCGCGTGGGCTGGGCAGGTCCCCTGCAGCCTCGGGCCTGGGGGTGCTGGTGGCCGTACACGGGGGAACCTGGGTGTGTCGTTATGTACGGGTTGTGCGCGTGATGGGGGCCGGGTGTTTCTGTGGATCAGAGTGCCAATAATTCCACGGTGGCCCRCGGAGCCTGAGAGTCTGTCCTTTGTACCCACGCGGGGCCTGCTGCTGGGGCAGGGCTGCTCGGGAAAGCGACAACACCTGGCTGAGGGGCTTCCTGCCACTGCACGATGGCCTGCATGCCCGAGGTGGCCCTGCTTGGGCCAGGGTGGGGAGGGGGGAAGTGAGCGTGTGTGACTGGCCATGTCGTCTCTCGCTCCACTCTGGACCCAGGTTGGCCCAGGGCTCTGGTTGGGGCGCCAGCTCGGGGGGTTGCTGCCTATTCCTGGAGCCCCTTCATGGAGGAGAGTGTGGGTGGACGAGTGAGGTCTGCCGTGGGCCTGAAGGGTGAGCGCCCGGCAGGACACAGGCGCCCTAGTCTTGCCAGCTGGTGTGGAGATGGGATTTGAGGATGACATACTGGAAAGGGGCCCAGGGACACTGAGTAGCCCCAGAATGTGGGACCGTGAGGATCTAGGTGCCTGTGACTGCACAAGCTGGCTTCCTGTGGATCCTGGTGTCCCCTGGAATCCTGTGCCTGTGCCTGACACTCTGCCTTGGTCGCTGGGCCTCCTGGAGCAGGCTGCCTCTGGGTGGGGGGCTGGTTAGGGCAGAAGGACCCCCAGGGTTGGGTCGCTTGCTGCTCTGGGGACAGGGTGGGGCCTGCCACCCCTTGCTCTTAAGGTTTGGGCGCCACCTGGTGGTGGCATGGGTTCCGCTGATTTCTTTCCAATGTGCCGTGGGCCCTGGGACCCCGTAAGCCACTGCTGCCACCTGGGCGGCACCTTCCCCGTGGACGTCTCCCGAGTCCTCTGAGAGGCAAGGCTGGTCTGACCTGTCTGAACTGTGGAGTGTCCCATCTCCAAATGAGCCTGGTCCTCAGGGCACTTGTGGGATGGACAGCTGTGCCCTCTGTCCTGCCTCTGTGCCTGTCCTTCCCTGGCCCTGCTGTCCACCTGTGTCTGGGCTGTGTGCAGAGCCACCTCAGTGGCTTTTCTTGCCAGGTGGTGGATAATTCTGGGCTACCTGTGCTAGGCACTGGTCAGGGCTGTGCTGCCCTCAGGAAGGACGCTGGGAGCTGCTATCCCTGGARGAGTGTGTGGAGGGGAGGGAGGAGCCTGGCTGGGCATGCTGGCGCCTGTGGACTGTGGCCTGAGGTCTTGCGGGCATTCTGGGGGCTCCTGACAATTTCATATGCACTGAGTTTGACAAAGGTGGGCCCTGACTTGGCTGTGCTGACCGGGGGAGGGGCAGCCCTGGTGCGGTGACCAGTCCACCCTCTTCCTTCTCAGCAGGCGCTCTGCGGAGCGTGGTGGCCCTGCAGCTGTGATGGAGAGCGCCCCATTGAGGAGTGTGCTGGCCCCTCATGGCCCTTGCAGCAGCGTCTCCAGCCGTCTCCCATGGTCACCTCCGTGCTCTGGCTGGGCACAGGGTCGGGGCTTGTCCTGCTGGATCGTAGGTTCACCCAGCACCCTGTGAAGCTGGAATCTCGGCCCTCAAGGAGGCCGGAGGAAGGGGAGGTGAGCGGGGTCCTGGGTGCCAAGAAGGCCTGTGTCCGCAGGGTCAGCAGGAGACAGAGATGGAGGCCGCTGGGCTTGTAGATGTGAGGGCAGGTGAGGGGAAGGGGCTGGGGCTCACGCGGGACAGCAGCCTGTCAGGGCCCTGGGTGGGGGTGTGGGCACCTGTGGCTTGGACGCGGGGCTTGTGCTGCACACACTGGAGTGACACGGTTGTGGGTCTGAGCAGCTCATGATGGGGCGGGACATGTGGGGTCAGCTGGGGAGCACATGAGGCCACTGAGGGGACCCACTCTGGCAGGCACCAAAGCCCCATGGCCTGAAAGCCTCGCATGCCCCGCCGGACCCGGGAGGGTTGGCTCTCTATGGCCAGCAGAGCCCCTGGGAGCGCCGCCTGGCCCCGTGCTGGTGCTGGGGAGGCGGGTGCGGGCCTGCTCCCACCCGCACACCCCACCCACCAGGGGCTGTTCTCACTTCTGCTCCTCCCCAGGAGCTTCTGGGCCTCACTGGCTCTGCGCGGATGGCACAAGGCACAGGTGCTGTGACCGAGGTGGCGTGGAGCAGGTCCAGGGCGAGGTCCTGGGTCTTGCTCGTGTTTGGTAACAGTGACTCAGAGGCGGCAGCGGCCTTGGGGAAGAGTTGCCAGGGCAGCAGCGAGCTGGCCTGAGCCCTCTGGGGGAGCTGACGCTGGCTACTGCCCGTTCCGTGCCCCCCGAGCACATGGGTCCCGAGTCGTGGCGTTGTGGCTGTGTCCCAGCCTCCTGGATGTGCTCAGCCCTCCTGGCTTTTGTGAGCCGTGACTCGGGAATGGCCCCGTCGGGCAGGTTGCCCAGTACTGGCTTTGGATGCGCCTGTGGGACTGTGGTAGAACTGGCCGTGCCCTCCCGCCTCCTGCTCCCCCGGGGCGCCCTCGCCTGCTCCTCGCGGTCCTCGTGGAGGGTCCTGGTTGTTCTTCTGCCTGGTGGGTTCTGTCCTGCCTGAGCTTAGTTGGGTGCCGGGGTGGCCCTTGTGGCAGGGCCTCCTCCTGGCTGCTGTGTGCCTCGGCTCTGTACCCACTGCCTTTTGATGGTCTCTTTACTTTTTGGCACAAAGAGATGCTCAGGGCTTCTCTAACRTCCACCCGTGCCCTGTTTCGTTGTCGTCTGGGGGGCCATCTCCAAGGAGCTGTGGGGACGTCCCTCAGATGAGAGGAGTGTGTGCCGCTGGATGTGGCAGGAGGTTGATGCTGCCATCTGAACCGGGCTCCCTCGGGGACAGTTAGAGCGCTCGTCGCTTTATTGGCTGATGGCCATGAGATTGCTCTGCCTCCCGCACCACTGCCTCAGTGCCCTGTGGCTTTGCCTGGCTGCGAGGCCCCTTCTCTGGTTGGTTCTCATTCTCCTTAATTTCTTTGTTGGATCAGTGCCACCCCCTCCCCATTCAGACCCCCTCACCTGGCTTGGCTCTGTGTCTCTGCACGGAGGCCTTCATCCATGGGCTATCCTGCTGCCTCCAGGGAAGAACTTTCCAGATGTGGAGACAGTCAGTCAGGTCCTTGAGCGAGGAGTAGCAGGTCCCGCCAGCTCCCTAAGACCTGAGAATGAGCAAGTGAGGGGCACTGGGGGCATGTGGCTCTGCAGAGCCTCCCCTGAGCCCCCTGGTAGGCAGGAGGCACAAAACACGGCAGAAGCACAGCAGGAGAGAGTGGCCCTGATCCTTGGACCGCGACTGTCTACTCAGAAAAGACGCAGTTACTAAAAGTAGTGTGAGCTCAGCAGAAGAGATGGCCAGGAGCTGCCCTCAGGTGCTCCCGACCACAGCTGCAGGCTCTGGAAGCTGCGTCCTGAAAGACGCCATAATCGGGTACGTGCCCGGAGGTCCTGAAAGTCGATATCACGCAGGACACCGCAGGCCTGCACACAGGAAGTTCCCAGTGCCCGTGTCCACTGCGGTGGTGTGTCCGTCACCCCGCCTCCAACCACTGCCTTGGTCAGCAGCCTGACATGGCCCTCCCTGAGCTCCTGGCTCCATGGGCCCCGTCCAGCTTGGCGCAGCCTGTTCTCTGCTGGGGTGCCGGGCGATTGTTGAGATCAAGTGTGGGTGGGCCCGCGTCCCGGGGCTCTGGACAAGTCTGCGTCTTGGCTTGCTGGGTTGCTTCCAATTGTGTGCCAATGTCTCTGTGTCCTTGCTGGCCACCAGTAGGGGCTGCTCTCAGGAGCCAGAGGCCACCTTCACCCTTCGCTTTATGGCCCCTCACCCTCAGAGGGCCCCTCACCTCCAATCCCTGCACCCTTGAGGCTCTTCAGAGGGAGCCCAGGGCTTTTAAAGTGTCACCAGATGAGGTCACTGGGATGGTCACCCCTGCTAGTCAGCTGTGCTCTCGAGTGTCACCCAGGCTCTGAGTGGCTTCACCCTCCTACATCCAGCCCACTCCCATGGGAGGTCATTGGGGTCCCCCAGGCTCTGCCCCCTGGGGCTCTCCTGTCTTCGTGCGGAGGAGTTGGTGTGCAGCAGCGTCCGCCTTCCCAGTCCGTCGCAGCTGTGGTCACACGTCGTGACTGCTTTTCAGGACACCTGTTAAGTGGTCCAGTGTTTACGGGGACATGCAGAATCGAGAGCTAAGCCCCTCCTGTGGCCTAGCGATTCCAGGGACGGGAAGGGGCTGGCTCGCCTCACTGGTGATGAGGGACAGGCAGGTGCCTCGTGCCCCCGCTGGCCGAGCGCAGGGACTTCTGGGAGCAGGTCTGGGCTTCAGCCTCTGAGGACCTCAGGTGTTGCCTGTTGTCGTCGACCGCCCCCATCCACCCGCACGAGCCAGCGCTTTGCTCTGTGGGTTGCGCATCCGCGGATTGAACCGGCCGAGGACTGAGGACAACGAGCAGCACTGAGACCACACTGGGCTCTTTCCCGTGGTCGATGCTTTCTACCTGGCGTGACCCCGTTCGGGTGTGAGATCCAGAGCTGATTCCAGCACCCGTGACCCAGGGCGTTCGAGGGCCTGCAGCCGGGTAGCCTGGGTGGGTGAGGGGTGTCCTGGGCCCAGCCCCAGGGTGCTCCTGCAGTTTCCTTC